CACATAGAAATCATATATATATATATATATATATATATATATATATATATATAAAATAGAGATCATGATATAAATTTTATCTTTCATCTTTTCCTTTTCTTGACGTGTGTTATAAAAGAAATTATCACTTAAAAGTTGAAATTTTTAGCATTTTTTGTGCTATATAAAGGAACAAATTCAACTAAATAGAATAAAAAATAGAGTAAGTCAATTAAAGAGAATAAATAGAAAAATAGAGTAAGTTAATGACAATCATATTACATATCGGAATTTCACAAAATAGGGGAATGGAATGAGAACAGTACTACAATATTATATATGAGCAATGAACAATAGTGTAATATTATTAGCAGAGAAAAAATGGAGAAGACAGGAGCATAGAAAAAAAATGAAAAGCTCACTTGAAAATTCTTGAAGCACTTGAAAAATCACTTCAAACAATCCTTCAAAATCTGATGGGTTTGGATGAGATTGTTTTATGAATTTGGTATTTATAGCTAACACTAGAAAGTCATTCAAAATCTCTCTCACACAACAATTTTTTAACATCTTTATATTTTTGAATACTAATGAATTATTTTTAAGTTATAAAAAATTTCAAATAAATATCAATAAATTTTAATGGACTCTTAAAAAAAATCTTGAAAATCTAGATTAAATACCACTTGATTATTTTTAAGTGACATAAAATCCCGATTGAATAACTTTTTTATTCAAATTTTTTTTTTAAATCTTACGAAATATTAAAGCAATACACCCCTTAAATGTCACAAATTCCCAGGTAAATATAAAAAGCAATTTGCGTTACAATTAAAATTTAATGAAATTTGAAACTTACTAGCAATGCAGAGTGAGGCGCGTGGTCTAAGCTGAGGACCCCGCTGTATGTGTAAAATAGTGAAAACTATGATGAGATTGAGGCAAAGAAAGAGCGGCAATGAAGTCAACTAAGTCAACAAAAGTATCTGTCCTGGAGAGAGCACGCTAACGCTAACGCTAACGCGGGAGGGAAATTTCTTGGAAGGTTGTATCGTAGGTTCCCACTTCCCACCCTTGTGCCCAAAAATTATAAAAATTGGGTTTAGTAGCGAGTGCTTACCTAATTTGAGTGAGATCGAAAGAGCAACAGGGTGCGTTCATTCGTGACTCAAGTTATGGGATTGTTCGAAGGGGCCGCTCTTGGAGCTGTGCTTCAAGAAGGGCCAAAGCAGGTTATAAGCATGATCTATAAGGCTTTCATGTTCAAGTCCACCCGCAGAGACCTTGGATCCGCTTTGGAGCGCCAGATTCCTTTGTCCAAACAACTTAAAGAGCGGAACACGAATTTGGGCCGCCCAGAGGAAGAAATACGTGCGTTTTTGGATGATCTTCAAAGGGCCCAAGGGATCTTGGACGCCAACTCCAACATCCCCTGGTGCCTGGTGGCAATGTTGTTGCTTGCCCTGGAAACAGCTCAAGCTTCAGGAAGAGTTGGAGGCACTCACCAGGTCCAACGTTCTTTTGATACCCAACCTTGTGAGTTCTGCGCAAGAAACGCTGTTGTTTGTGAGGGAAGGTGTTCACGGGAAACCGTTGAAGAACCGGTTCGAGCCTCCTCCCGAACCGGATCATGTGGTGGGACTGGGATTGGCTAACCCTCTTTCCC